TTGAGGTACCAAGATTATGCAATTTTCAGCTCCGGACAAAATTACTTTCGTTGTTTGAAGCTATTTTGGTTCAGAGTTTGATATAGGTACATGTTTCTTTTGTGTTGTTGATGAGTCCAGCCTGTAATATGACTTTCTGCAAGTTAAGCAGTACATACATGTATATTTCATATGTTTTTCAGACTTTGTGTAGTATTGAGTTTAAGTTTCATGGAAACTCTTTAAAATGGACAGCCATTGTGACACTTAATTACTGTGAGAGAACACCTCATTTAAGAACTTAAGAAATCTTATTCACCTAATGCTTTGTGTCATCTGTTTCGAGATTTGCAGGATAATGGCCACCCCATGGTAACTGTTAACATCCAATCGGGGTGCAACAACCGCTTGGTAACAACTAATAGCCAAATAAGTTAAAGGAGTTAGAGATGACGGTAATTTTCAATGCCATGCCATTACATGTAAAATGAATTTCACCAGTCGATTTCGGTAACTTTGAAAGTTGAAACCTAAGATTCACCGACTGAAAGCTTGTTTCGTCCCATATAACTGTTTCGTTTTTAAATAACTGTTTTGCCCTAATGATCGTCTCCGACACCACGAACTGACACTTAGAGGTGCGCGACATGATATCATTTGTGCACATTTTAGAGAACTGCGTTATTTTCGTTTTCACAAATTTAAACTGGCATCCAGTACAGCGCGGCACATCCGGTGCGCATTCCGTGCATTTTGGTTTTATGAACTGACACTGATCATAATTCTACTCTCAATTAACTTTTTGTGCAATGCAGCAAGTATACGGATGGATTAAATTTACGTAAAACTTTCGAAGCATTTTTCCTTCGCGGTGCATTGCCACAACAAGCTTGGATGTCTGTTTGTCAATACAAAAATCAGTCTTTTTTGCGTCAGTTCCTGGGCGTGCAGACGTTTTGAATTCATGGGCGTATTTATACAACATAATGTGGCGCCGACCGACTTTCGCCAAAGGTCGCCCCGGCCTCCCTACTAACCCTTGGGTGAGCCCAGACGAGCGGCTGTCCGGGTAAACCTACGTGATGAGTCCGTTTGGAGTGCCGTTCGCCGCCGATACGTGCTGCTCAGTCTCTCTTCCCGACGGCCACTTAAAGAACGGACATTGAGGGACTGACTGGACAAACAGACGGAGAAGTATTAGACACTGACACCTATATTAATTGGTTTCAAATGGCACTCACATAGTTTGAATTACTGACATCTTCCTAATTCCTAAGTATAGCGGCAGCTCTTATGTCTCGTAGAATTCGGTGGCCTTAATAAGATCCGCCACTAGACGCAGTGTAATTTCAAGTTGTGGACGCAAAAATAAACAAGGGTCTCGACAGAAGCTTGCAGTTTCAATAATGTATTGTACATCTTTC